TCCTATGGGATTCCAATTGGATTCCTGTCGGATCCGTAGAGGCCCTCTAGGATTCCCATAGGAATCCCATCGGATCCTTGTAGGATTCGTTGAGGCCCTATAGGATTCATCTGGGATTCCTCTGGGATTCCGATAGGCTTCGTAGAGGCCCTATAGGATTCCCAAATGATTCCTATACGATCCGTATATGATTCGTAGAGGCCGTATAGGATTCCCAAAGGATTCCTGTGGGATTCCCATAGGAATCCTAGAGGCCCTATAGGATTCCCATGGGATTCCTATGGGATTCCCATGGGGATCCTAAAGGCACTATAGGTTTCCTACAGGCTTCCCATAGGATTCCTATCGGATTCGTAAAAGGCCCCATAGGATCCCCACAGGATTCCTATGTGATTCCCATAGGATTCGTAAAGGCCCTATAAGATTCCTGTGAGATTCCCATGGGATTCCCATCGGATTCGTAGAAGCCCTATGGGATTCCTGTGGGACTCCTATAGGATCCCTAGAAGGTTCGCGGAGACCCTATCGGATTCCCATCGGAATCCTACAGGATTCGGGGTAACGTGCGTTGCATTGCGTTGCGTTGCGTTGCGTTGCGCCGGGGGGGTATGGGGCCGGCGCCAGTGAGTGGTTTCGTCAACAACAACAACAACGAACTTTGGGCACGCGGCACCATCACCCAATCCAGCAGCATGCGAAGCAGCAAAAAGGTCTTGATCGTAGACGCCATCTTTGACTACCGCTCCAACCACCACGACATCCTTGACAAGCTCGACACCCTTGCCACAATGGCAGGGGACCCACAGGTCAGCTACAACACGGCCGAGACAATTCAGAAGGAAACCATCGCGGCCAACAACCTCGCCCACGACTTCCTCGACAAGCTCAACGACTACGTCATCACACTACGCTCCTAACTATAGGTGATGGCCATCCTCGCCTCTGTGCGACGCCGCACGAGGTGCCCACGCGCCCGACGCCGACCACAGGTACCACCACTTCTCCCCACCACACATCCACCAACGGTCATGCGCAGCAGCCGCCTGCCTCCGACCTCATCTACTCCGATCTCAACTGCCCCTTATCGTGAGCCCGACCGCGACGACATCTATCTCTGAGGTTTAGACAGGTCAGGGCGGAGGGGTGGGTGGGTGAGGATTAAACAGGTAGTGATGTGGAGGGCAGGGGGAGGGAGGTTCTTCGGTGCGCTCTTACCCACCCACCCACCAACGCCTAGGTCCCAGGCCGCACCGCCATGTATCCCTCTTATCTCCACGTCCTCCCTTCATCACAATATCCTCTCCTCCTTCCTCTTCGCTCCCGCTTTGCCGCCACCGCTCCCTACAGCTGGCGGTCACTTTAAATGCCAAGCCCACATGGCCGCAGGCAAGAACGCACACACTGTCTACCCACCGCTTAGCTGTGCCTGTCCTCCCCTCGCCGCGCTCTGCCCTTCCACGCTCAGTGTACGCAGCGCGACCTGTCATGTCGCAACGGCAGCCCTCACACCGCTCGCCTTACAGTAGTGAAAGGTGTGTTTCCCACCACCAACTTGTTTCTCGGTCGGTGGGGGGGGGCTCTTTTACCTCATTTCAAAAGAGCAGGCAAACCGCAGCCAAAAGAGCAAGCTAACTGCAGCACTGTGTCCCCGACCCTAGCAGCATGCGAACTGCAGCTCCCCCTTCCCCCCCACCGACCCTATGTTACAATTCACCGAAATGTCTCCCACCTCGTCCTCATGATCTCGTGCTCCACCTCCCTCGCTGCCCACGTTCCGTGCCTCCGCCCTCGCTGCGCCAAGTCTCCTTCCACGCCATGCCGCCGCCTGTCGCGGCTGTTCTACCTTCTGCCTCGCCAGCAACAGCCCTCTTTCAATACATATGGGAAGATGGGATGCGGAGAGGATTTGGGGTAGATGGGGACGGGGAGAGGTTCTGGCCTATGGCCCCGCGCACCTACCTGCCCACCTACCTCCGCCTCATCCTTCTCCCCTCGCCCCCTCGTCACCTATCTCGATCCTCCTCCTCGACTCGCGCCTGTTCTTACCTCGGCGGTCTAAATGCGCGTATCCACCTCTTGGGTTTTTCCCCCTGGCTCGTTTCCCCCCCCCATTTTTCGGTGTCCCTGGTCGCGGGCCTCATTGGCCTCCCCCCCCCTGCGCTAGTTAGACCGCCTCACCGTGCTGTTCAAGCGCTCTCTCCTTCTCCTCTCTCTGTAACAAGAGGTGCCCGCGCTGGTATTTCCGCCACCCCGTCTGCACCTCGATCTCACCTTTTCCCGAATGCGCCCCCCCGCCCCGCCGGGTTAAGCCGTGGGGCGGGGCAGGAAAGGTTGGCTGCAAGGAGAACCTACCGTCCGCCACGAGTCAGTCAGTCAGGAGGAAGAAGAGGAGGAGGAGGAGGAGGAGGAAGAGGAAAGGGGGCCCAAATCTCCAACGATTCGATGCTTCAGATCCCTGCGTTTCTTCCGTCACCTCGCCCTCGGCAGGGCCGCTGACCATGCCCCAGAGGCCATCCCCAAGGAGTGCAGACGGAGGAAGCACTGCACCTGGGGCAGGGGTCGGGACCCCCGCGGTTCCGGTCGTGATTCTGCACTGCGGTGCATCCTTTCGAAACGTCGCGTCTCAGGGCCAGGGGCCCTGTCGTCATCATCATCATCATCATCATCATCATCATCATCATCATCATCATCATCATCATCATCATCATCATCATCAGGCCGCAGATCTCCGACGGCGTCCGGCTCCTGTGCTGCCGACGGTGTTCCTCGATGGCGGCCTCCGTGCCGCAGCATCTCGGGCCCCAGGGTCGTCCACAGAGGGCCTGGCGAGGGAGTCTGCCCCTGGGGACGTGCTCGGCACCTCTGGGGCCGCGAGCCACGATCCCATCGTCGGATCTCTGGTGGCATGCTGGGGCCATCCAGGACTGCACGTCGTTCATTTCTAATCGTGCTCATTTCTAACTGCACTCGTTTCTAGTTGTGCCTGGCCCCCCAGTGGCCAGGAAGAGGCCTAGGACAGAAGAAGTAGAAATGAAAGGATCTTGGCCCCCCAAAAAATCAAAGAACCTTCGAGGAATGAGAAATGAACAATGTGTACCCTCTGGGGGCTGGCCGTGCGCGGCCAGCAGAGCTTGCCAGAGACCAGGACGTCCTCGCGCTGTGAACCAATCGCGGAGGATGGTTTTGGACGGTTCACCAGCTCCAAATGGCCCACGCTGGGCACCTGGACCGTCCCCAAAAACGGCTCGGAGGCGAAGCCGGCCCCGGGGGAAGATATCAAGACCCCCCAAGGGCCCACGCTGCGAAAAGGTTGCGATGCTGGAAATCTGGGGGGACATGGCATGTGCAATTTCTGACTCGCCCGAGGGTCAGGAGAGCCCAGCATCGAATCGGTAAGTCGGATCGGCGATCGGCATGAATCGGATCGGCAGAAATTGGCAGCCGAGTCAGAAAAAATCGAACTTGCGGAAAATCAGTAGGCTTGTATGCGTCCAGCGAGAAGTCGGAACCCGGATCGGAACCCCAAGTCGAATCTCGAATCGGAATTGGAATCCATCGAAATCGAATCGAATCGATCGGCCGTGGACGAACCTCCCTTTAGTAAACCTCCCCTTAGTGAAAACGGCCTGGGACCGAAACCGACGGACCTGGACTCGCAGAAACGACGGCCGCGACGGGCCGCGATGCCCTCTCGCGAACCGAACACGGCCCATTCCCTACTCGACGCGTCAGGGCAGGAGGCCTGTCCACCCCCGACTCTCTCGCCTCGGCGCCGCAGGCCGGGGATGCGTTCTGACCAGAATTTCGAGGCGAATCCAGCGGTGGCGACGAGATCCTGCGAGGAGGCCCGCAAAGGGGAAAACGGCCGAAGGGCAGAGGTATGGGTACCTTCTCCTCCGCTGACCTTCTCGCGAACCCCTCGCGAACCGAAAACGGCCAGTTCCCTCATCGACTTGTCAGGGCAGGAGGCCTGTCCACCCCCGAATCGAATCGGGGGAATCGAAGTGAGCCCCTGGATCGGGAGCGGCCAAGGGGGGGGTGTCCAAGAGGGGGGGTTGCAAATCATGACCGGCGGCATGTGCGCGGCCCCGCGGGGGGGCCAGGGACGTAATGAAACAAGAAGAGGCGCCATGAAATCTGGGGAAATATCATGGCCCCCGCCATGATATCCCCCCCCCCCTAGTCATCACCCCGCTCTTTTCCGCCCCTGACTGGAGGGTGCGCTGACACGCCGCGGCTCCCGGCGCGCAGAGCCCCGCCGGGCGGCAGGCGCCGCACGGGCGTGCAGGTCGCGCGGCGGGGCTGCGGGCGCGGCGCGGCGGCGGCGGCAGGCTGCCAGCGGCAAGTCGGCGAGGGCAGGAGCGCCAGCAGGGCCAGGAGTGCGAGGGCAACACGCCCCTGCTTGGAGTCAAGAAAGTTCCAATTAGGCTACAGTCGGGGCGTTGACCTAAGGAACCCTAAATGAGGAACGAGGCCCCTATTTTCCATAAGTTGAACTTCGATTTCCTATCGGAAACCTAAGGAAAACCTGAGGCAAGCTGCGAAACACTTAAGGAACGCGGAGCCCCTCCCCAACCAAAAAGGTTCCTTCTTCAGGGCCCCGACTGTAGGCGAAGGGGGCGGGCTTCACTCGAAGCGTGCTGTTCAGAAACAATAGTCCATAACCCAGGCTCAGATATACGAACGCTTAACGAGATATACGAGCACTCTACGAAAAAAGAAGCTCCGAGAAAACGCCGGATCCAGTCCAGGTTCTTGCTTTTCTGAAGCGAAATGTGCAGTCCATGAGGGTTGGCGCCTTCTCTATAACAAAAAAAATGGTGTAAGGTACATTCGGAGAGAGAGAGCTGCAGAAGCAGCGGCAGCAGCCAGGCAAAGGCAAGAGAGACGAGCAAAACAAGCACTGTCAATAACAGTTAAGTAGCATCCGAAGGACCAGGTAGGAGGGGCTTGGTATCGCACCAGCTCAGCTCTGGCCCGATGAGGTGTCGACGATACGGTCAGGCGATGCACCTCTCTTCGACGTTGTTGGTGTCGAGGATGCAGAGGGCCTGGCAAAACGCGCGCAATGTTACCCATCTAGCGGCGTAAAACCTGGGCAGAACCTGGTAAAACAGAAAACGACTATCACAATGCGCCAGCAAGAAAGACGTCTGACGGCCACAACGGGCCCTGCATCGGGCGCGAAGACGGCTAGCGCGAAATCACGCGCAAACATGCCATACAGAGGTCTGCCGAGGTTTCTGGCCTGCGAAGCGCTGGAGAGGCCAAGAGCGTCCAAACATCCTGAAGCTCGATCCTTGATCCCCTCGGCCCGCGAATCGGAGCACCTATGCGGAGAGGGCGCTGAAGATCAAGAGTCTGGCGTTCCGCGGAGGATGCCTGAACTGACCGTCGTCGAAGCCAACCGATGGTACGGGACGCGTCGGGTTTACGTCGTTCGTCGATCGTAGTTCGTCGTTCGTGATTCGTTCATCATCATTCGTCTGTCGCTCGCCGTCGTCGTCGCTCGCCGTCGTCGTCTTCCCAGACCTCTAACGTCGTGACTTGTTCAACCCGTGGCCACCTGAACCATTGGCCCTTCCCCTCAGGGCCGGGTCTTCATCCTGGGTGGCTTTCCGACAACTGCAGGGCCAAGAAGCCTGGAAGCAGGCTCTGAGAGGCCACATCTAGGGAATGCCCGTTGCCACTGGAGGGGAGAGGAGGTGGAGCATGGCCATCGAAGTCATGGCACAGAAGCCGCCGAGGAGATGGAGGATGGCCATGGAGGAGTAGAGGCTGCCACGACACCACGGCGTCGAAGGTCTGGAGAGGAGGTGGACGCCTGGCCATGGCCCCCCATGGCAGACGGATGCCGGGTCCACGGGGGCCGCGCTCTCGGCTCGGTGGCGCGGCGCTCAACCGATGCCTATTTATCCCCACCGGCGTGGCCCTGGCCCAGCTGGCCGACTTACCCGCCGAATAGGTATGTATTCTCGGGGATGCGAGGGGCCTCTCCCCACCTCTGGTGGTCTGGTGGGGCTCAGGCTTGCCATCGCTGGGACGTCCATTCCCTGTGCATTTATCCGTTTCGTGCGTGTTTTTGATTGCTCGATGATCCAGGATGCTCCTCCAGGGTCCTCGCCGAGAAAAAATGCACACGTCCGAGCGATGCCAGGCAAGTACAATGGCCCCTTTGGAATGGGGATAGGTTGGGCGATGCTGACCCTCGCGATTCCACCGATCGAGGGCGCGGGCTGCTTCTTACTCCGCGCCGCGGGCAGTGCAATCGTCTGCACGGAGCTGTGCCCGAACACCTCCAGTCCTTTCGCTGCTAGAGGCCCAGCTGGTTTGGGAGATCTCCCTTTCTCGGCCGTGGACGAACCTCCCTTTAGTAAACCTCCCCTTAGTGAAAACGGCCTGGGACCGAAACCGACGGACCTGGACTCGCAGAAACGACGGCCGCGACGGGCCGCGATGCCCTCTCGCGAACCGAACACGGCCCATTCCCTACTCGACGCGTCAGGGCAGGAGGCCTGTCCACCCCCGACTCTCTCGCCTCGGCGCCGCAGGCCGGGGATGCGTTCTGACCAGAATTTCGAAGCGAATCCAGCGGTGGCGACGAGATCCTGCGAGGAGGCCCGCAAAGGGGAAAACGGCCGAAGGGCAGAGGTGAACCCCTGGAATCGCAGTGAGCCCCTGGAGGCTGCGCTGACACACTGCGGCCCCTGGCACGCAGAGTCCCGCTGAGCGGCAGGCGCCGCACGGGCACGCAGGTCGCGCGGCGGGACTGCAGGCGCGACGCGGCGACGGCAACCGAAAACGGCCCATTCCCTACTCGACGCGTCGGGGCAGGAGGCCTGTCCATCCCCCGACTCTCTCGCCTCGGCGCCGCAGGCAGGGCAGCGGAGGCCGCGACCGAGAGCGGCCCTCGCGAGACACCTGGGCCTGGCCATCAGGCTGGCGCTCCGAGCACGGGTCGAGCCGGCCCCGCCGCTTCATGTGCGCAGGGGAGCGGCAACGGCCTGGTGCGTGCGCAGGGGGCCCAGGGAGCCAGGCAACAGCCCCCTTGCTTTTCTCCGGGGGTGCGGGTTCCGAGTGCCCAGCTTATGGCGCTCGGTGGCGACGACACGCAGACGAATAACTGGGATGGAGTCAACCCACCCAGCCGACCCCGCGAGGAAGAAGAGAGAACGTGATGGCATGATTGTTACTCCCCTGGCGGCGAAACCGTGGCAGAAGGGTGGAACGGCCCCGGCCTAGGAAGGGCGCGAGGCTCAAGCAGGCAAGCCCGCCGCCAGCCGCAGGGGCTCGGAGCCCGCTGGTACTGACGGACGGGGAGAAGCCCTGGCCACGGTCAGGATGGCACGAGTGCGCAGTCGTAGTACTAATGGTGTGGGCGGGTGGGGACAATCGCAACCGTGCTTGCGCCAAAAATGGCGACGGTGTACAGCGACTGCCGTGCCTCCACCCGGACTCCCCCCCAGCCATTACTACACCAACTCGTTTGCTTCACAATGACTGGGATGGAGTCAACCCACCCAGCCGACCCCGCGAGGAAGAAGAGAGAGCGTGATGGCATGATTGTTTCTCCCCTGGCGGCGAAGCCGTGGCAGAAGGGTGGAACGGCCCCGGCCTAGGAAGGGCGCGAGGCTCAAGCAGGCAAGCCCGCCGCCAGCCGCAAGGGCTCGGAGCCCGCTGGTACTGACGGACGGGGAGAAGCCCCCAACTGCCGGTTCACCTGGGTGCCATGTTCGCCCGCTAATCTCTTCCGTTGCCCCCCGCGCGCGGGGTAGCAGCGTTCGCAGAGGTCCTTGTGGAAGTCCGGGAGCTCGTCGACAAGCGCGGCGTTCTTGCCCAGCGAGAACTGCCACGAGCAATTCGCTACGCCCTGCGGGCTAGAGACGCCTGGCCTCAGCATCACTGCGTGGACGATCCCCGAGACTGCGTTGCGAACGTAAGGCATTGCAGCCTCCCTCTCGGCCTGAGCTTCCGGCGCCGCCCCCGGTAAAGCGTGGGGCGCGCCCAGGCTGTCCTACCTGGCGAGCCGCTTGCGACTGCACCTCCGCGTCGAGGAGCTCGCGCAAGTGGACAACGTCCAGCTCCAGTCCACCGACCCGGGCTGCCAGAGCCCGAACATCAGACTCCATAGAAGCTCGCGCCAGCGCACTGGGGGAGACCGCCGCGCCACGGGGCCTGTGGCCAGCTCCTCGAACGCGCGCGCGGCCAGCCACCATGGTCCTCCAAGGTGGCGGAGGGCGCCAGGCGACGAGGGGTGGCGCCCTCCGAAGCGGCCGCTGCCCAGGCGCGGCTGCCCGCCAGAGGGGCGCCACGTATGTAGCCCAGCACAGCTAGCGACCCCCAGCGACCCAGAAGTTGGATGGCCCACGAATCAAGACCTGCCAGTGCCAAGCCCTGCGCGCCTCCAACTCGCAAGGAGTGGCCGGTCCAACGCGGGAGCCTCTCGGGCGTACGAAGTGGGAGACCCAGCAGGGCCGCCGCGCGGGCTACCGTATCCACCATGCCCTGCTTGGTGCAAGGGTTTCCCGCCATATCCGGGAAGAGCGGGAGGTCGACCAACGGGACGCCGTCGGAAGAGTGGCGCTCGGGGAACCACGAGCGCAAGGCCGCCCTGTGGCGCCACAGGGCGTGCGCCGGGCAAATCGCGGCGAACCTGCCCCTGCCGCAAGTGCACCCGTGCCGGCGCTCGCGGCCACGAGCCTCCTGGTCTGACTTGGACACTGGCAGCGCCCATGCAGCGACTGTCGGATCGCCGGCGAACTGGACGTGCACCGCCCTCGCATTCGCGAGCTCAATCTCTCGGGTGAGCCACCAAGTACCCAAGATCAAAGCGCGCTTCGGCGCTCGGGGCCCCCCTTGCGCCCACGGAGCCGGGTCGTCCGGAAGCTCGTGCAAACGTGCCACGGGTAAGCCTTCGACCCGGTGCGCAGGGCCAACGCCCCGTAGGCACGCGCGCTTGGCATCCTTCAGAGCGAGCAAAACTGCGGGGGTCAGAACCTGCCCTGCCCGTTCGGCCGCCTGGCGCACGACCGACAAGTAAGCAGGAGAAGAGCGGTAACCGCCAGCCTTGAGGCCAGCCCCCAGCTGCTGCACCGTGCGCTCCGTGAGCGGCAAAAGGGGGACATTCCAGAAGTCGAGCAGCTTCTGGGCGGTCCTCAACAACGACTCCTGGGTGTCCAGCGTGCCCTGAGCGTACACTGCCCGCTCGAACTCCTGCAAGGCTGCGTCGCGGGCCTCCTCCTCTGCCAAGTTCGGCAAGGAGCCGCGGCGGTAAACCTGCCGCCCTGGCGCCCCCGCGCGCAGCCCAGGCAGGGTTGGCGGGGCGTCCCCCGAGCCCCCTGCTGCAGTCACCCCCCCAATCCGTGAAGCCGCCACAGGACCAGTGTCAGGCGGTGGATTGGGGGACGAGGGCGACCGCCCCGCACCCGCCTACCAGCGCCCCCCTCTGCTGCTTGCGGCCGGGAAGGGCGTCGGCCAGGTCCCCCCTCAAGCGACGCGGCCACATGGTGCGCCCAGTGGCGGGGAGGCGCGGAGAGCGCGGGGGGGGGGGGTGTTTGGGCCGAGGAGGAGGAGGAGGAGAAGGAATGCGCATCCAGTGCCCCCACATTGACCACATTGAATCACACGATGTTCTATCGGTGACGAGTGTGCCACGAACTGCCACCGGATGGGCTGGCATCCCCCAGCAACGCTACTGACAAAAGGGGGCGTGGCAAAAAGGGGGGGGTTCTTGAGCCATTGCTGACTACTCATGCCGATGCTATGCCGATGCCCCCCTGTCCACGAAAAGGCGCCCTGGGGGGCCTGCAAGGTCACCGACGCAAGCTGTGGGAACCCCAGCCGGTGACCTGAGAAGGCGTCCTGGGGGGCCTGAAAGGTCACCGACGCAAGCTGTGGGAACCCCAGCCGGTGACCTGAGAAGGCGTCCTGGGGGCCTGAAAGGTCACCGACGCAAGCTGTGGGAACCCCAGCCAGTGACCTGAGAATACGTCCTGGGGGGCCTGCAAGGTCACCGACGCAAGCTGTGGGAACCCCGGCCGGTGACCAGAGA